GTTTAGTAAATTCATTTGGACTAAGTGATTCCAATAGAAAATAGTGGTGCCGGGACGACGGAACCGTGGGATCTTGACCGGTGTCGCTTTAATCCACTTTAATATGCCCATAATAAAATTTAAAGAACTTTAACCATAGGGTCATCTGATTTGACATTATAACCAAATGACCTAGAAAACTTGAACTCTGCTACAATGAGGAGCTTGGAGCTTACATGGTGAGCAGCTTGGCCATCTTCTACAGTAAGAGGATTTATAACAGTACATCGTTCCTTAGCTTTAAAACAACAAAGCCATAGGAATTTGAGGTTGTTTGCCTAGTGCAACATAAATCCTCAAACATATCTTTTAGGCATTTGTACAATCCTGTTGTACAATCTAAGCCCTAACTCGCCTTAGGACTCCGAGGTTGTTGCTGATTGTTTCACACAAATGTAAATCCTAATAAATAAAAAATTGTAGGATGAAACATCTAAATGATTTCTTCTAAATTGAAACCAAATAATAGGATAGCTTGGGAAGTCACCGAAGTTCTCCTTCGGATCCGTAACATCTTCTAATATTTCCTCCTTTGGACTCCAAAATAAATGTTCCAAATTTGAACCATTTGAACCAATCCCCAATTTGAACCAATCCCCTTCACACTTCTTAGTCCAATATCTTTGAAATATCCTTACCAATTGAACTCTTTGAAGATATATTTTTTTTTCTTGATTTTATCGAGAGTATTCTTAAGTAACTTTTGTTACCTAAGATGTAATTAATAATTAACTAATGTAATTAACTATAGGGGCTTGCCCTTATAGGAAGCTTTTCCCGAACCTAGCATAATATAAACCCTATTTAATTCCTTATATTAAATAGGGGAACTTGTCGGCCAATACATTGGTTTCGCAGACCAAACGAATGTCATAACTTTCTTTAGTTTATTTGATCGAGCCTCACCCTCAATTCTTGTGTTCATCCTGCGGGATGGATACAGGATTTGAGGTAAATTGCTCTTTCATCTAAACTATGAAAATTATGGGGTCAGTTTGACTTCATCTTTTTCAAAACCCAACTTTTTCAACGTCCTTCCAAAGCGGACAACAAGATTTCAATTCCGATGACCGACAGCTTCTTACGGGCAAACTCCACACCAAAAATAGTGCCGACAGCTAATTTAAGAAAAATAACTTTTAGTAGGTTTTATGTGATCATGTATTTGACATTAAAGCATTTAGAATTCTTGCATGTTGTAGATGAATATTTGCTTGGAATATATAAATGTCAATTGATTTTACTTATAAGGCAAGAGATGCTACAATGTCATGACTCATAAGATTATGCCTATGAAATAATTGCGTGCATGTATTCATTTGTTATGATTCATGTCTGTGATATATGAAATGTCTATGAATGTATGCTAAAGGCATTATGCTAAGAAATATCATGAGTAATATTATGGGTAGACTATTATAATAGTGCTTGCAAATATGCTATGCAAGGATGTGATATTTTTGACTCCTACTATTCAAGCAGCGAAAAAACTCTGAAACCATTTTGATCTGGCGATGACTGAAGGTAGAAAATCGTTGATATTATGAGGATCATTGATATATGCTATATTGGGGCTGAGGGACAATTTTTATCGATAGTTTATATGACATTTGGGGCAGAGATAACATGTCATAAAAAAAGTTGAGGCTCATATATTTACAAGTGATATTGCTATGAAAAGACTTCTATAAAATGATATTGCTATAATTACATATGATAGACAATTTATGACATGTTTTTTTATTATATTTATGATTTTATGCTTACGAAATGTTTATACAACAGTCTTAATTTCTACACTACTTGCTCTCTTTTAATGTTCTTCATTATGCTAGCATATTATGACTTGTGTGTGTAAACATGTATAGTTTCATTTGAGCATGCATGTTATTTGCATTTTCTTTATAAATATTATTTTGGCCTTAATTATTGCTTTGAGCTCGTTGTTGCTCACTCTACTTTATTGCCTTCCAGGTAAGGGCAACGAGCACTAGAGCGAGTAGCTAGACATGATTTGTAGCTTTACATTGTATATTTTTAGGAGCTTAAACAACATTTGAGTACCTATTTTATTCTTGTTTGGTTTAACAACTCTGTATATTTTTTAGGTTTTGAGTTTATGTTTTTTCATGCTTTATGAGTATGTACATATATGATTTATGAAATACAATGTATCACTTGTGTTTGAGGTAGCTTAGTTAAACTAGTTCATCACCCTCTGGGTCATGATTCTTCAAGTCAAGATAAGTGTTTTTGAGAATTTAGTCTGCGCTGATTTGTCTGGCTCTATCGCACCTCAGCTGACCCATGATAAGGGTCTAGTTGGGTTGTGACAATGTAGAGTGAAAAAAAAGAGAAGAAGAAGAGTGGAAAAAAGGAATATAAGAGAAGTAGAAGAAGAAGTAGGAAGAAGAAATAGTGTATTAATCAGGGGAGGAAGAAGAAAATGTAGAATGGAAATGAAAAAATGGAAAAAAAAGTAGAAGAAGAGGAATAATATTGAGTAGGAAGAAATGCAGGAAGAGAGAGTAGAAAGAGTAGGAGTGAAGTAGAAGAAGAAGTATGAAGAAGAATTAGTATAAGTAGAAGAATATATTTTGAGGTAGGGAGAAGTTAAGAAACTTATGGTGAAATAAAGAGGTTGAAGAACACAACAAGAGAGGAAGCAAACTGACCGAGAACAATAAATTGGTAGAGTAAGTCAAGATGAGGAAGTGAGTAACAGATCCTTTTGTCTAGAGGCGTGTGAGGGGTTAAAATAAAATGTAGAGACGGAGGTGGCCAAAGGCGGGAGTCGTTGGCACTTAAAATTGAGAGGGAGTTGGATTGAAGGTGGCATTATCACTTCGCCCAGTGGCATAATTATCCCGCCCCTTATCATGGGGTGTCATGATTACGCCACATCGAGGCATGATTTTGTCGTCGGAGGGGCCTTTGCATAGCCACACCACTTTTTATGTGATTATGTCGACGTGTGGTGTAGCCATGCTAGATGGTGACATGGCTACGCCGGCTATGACTAGCATATCAAGGTATTTTGGCTTGTTTCTTGATGAGAAAGATTGCCAACATGGAATATCTTCCCATGGGGGGACGAGTGCTCATTTTGGTCAAGAAGTTGGTCATATTTAAAAATATTTCAAGTAAAAGTGAGGGTACCACTTTTAGAGAGTAAAAATTTGGTAGATTTTGAGTGAAAGCTTTTAACGAGTTTTGATTAATCAAATTTAGTGTTTTTTTAGCTCAAATTACTTTTGCTGAAATTTAATTATGTTTGGTTTTATTTTAGTTTTGTTGACTTTAATTATCTTTAGGTGCATTTTAATTAACTTATGATTAACTCAAAATTTAGTTCAAGTGAGGTTCAAGTCATAACTTATTTGAGCTCAAATAAGTCATTTGGTGACACAAAGAGGGATGTCATATATCCGGATGAGAGATTGAGTATAAGGGTGACCAAAAAGTGAGGTCAACGCTCTCCTTCACACATAAAAAAAAGATATTTCTAATATCAATCAGCTTTCAACAATTTTCAATAAACTCTTGCAGATCCCTTCAAATTAAATAAAATTATTCCCCTTCATCTTTCACCTCTAAGCCCACCACATCCCTCCATCAAGAGCACACTAAACAATATTAAATATTTTGTTTATTCAATAAAAAAAATAAAATAATTTTTAGTTAAAAATTATCATTAATAACAATGTCAGCACACATTCATTAAATATATACAATATAACAATGTATTGTGCACTCTTCTAATTATTGCATTCCTTCTTAATTAATCAATAAAAATAATCAAATTAAGATTAGTTCTTCCTCTAATCTTTAAAAAAATAAATAATTTCAGGGAAATATTAGAAATTAATAAACCTGTTCTATCATGAAAAAATATAAGACAAAAGATCAATTTGGAATTGGGGACTTTAACATATTCTAAAGTTTGTATAAATAAGAGAAAATTTCATTCATAACACACAATTGTTATGTATTTACATGTCTAAATCCTAAAATTTTATATTTAAATTATAATTTTATATTTAAATTATAATTAAATGAAAATAAATAAAATTGTGTGGCATGTGTGTAAATGCCCCAAAAATAAATATAGTTAAACTTCATATTGAAGTTTTTTATAAATAGAAGATTTCAATACAGCACGAGTTCTTAAAATTTAATCTTTTTAAATTAATACTAATATTTAAAATATCTTTTTATTAATTTTAAATCTATTAATAATGTTATTATATGCACCTCTAATCAAACTAATAAATATAAAAATAAATTTTTAATATCCCATATATTGTTAAGGGGATTTACATGCACACCATAAAATTCCTATATATTCATTTATATCTAGAAAAGATGCATTTTAATTTAAATAAGTTAATCATCAAGGGTGGGGATGCAAACAGCCCCACAAGACCCAATGTGGGAGGGACTACGACAACGAAGTGAAAGTAATATTTTAGCAGTGATAAAATTGATAATGTAGAAGGGGCAAAATATCAAATTATTCTCTTGTATAAGTGAAAATTTGAATTTGATATTATAAGAGGGGACAAAATTCACAAATCCAGATTTATAAATCCGCTGCTTCATTTTGTCCAAAATGATCGCCTGACAAGATTTAGCGTATATCCTGCTTAAATCCGGAGCAAAATTCATTTCAAGACAGCTCATAAATGTTACTAAATCCAATAAATATTTATATGTATGAAAATTTTTATATCATTTGTGAGATAAATATATTTTTTTATTTTTTTCCTTTTGATTAGTAAATTCTCATTATTATTTGGGTTATTTACATATATATGAAATAGTTTTTTATACACATAAAATATTTTACTTTTATTGATATTTAAAAGTTTTACAAATTTAGATAAAGTGATATTAAAAAAAAGTTTAGAAGTTAAATGAAAATTCATAGAAATTATGTGGTACGTATGCAAGTAATTGTGTGGTAGGTATGCAAGTTCCTTATTATTTTCTAGGTTTTTTGTGCTGAACTTCAAATTTCACCGTCGCTCGCTCCAACCCTCGAGCTACCTCAGCAATGGCGATGCTGGTTTGATAGCCGTCATTAGCACATCAATCAGCAGTCCGTTAAGCTCTTCTGGAGGTGAAAGGCGGGCATTTTGGTTGTGCATTGCTTGCGGAGCTATAGTTGCCAGAAAAGTACACTGACCGGGAAACTAGGGTTTTGGGGGCTCGACTGGTTTTGCACACTCTGGCCATTGCACGATGTATCCACGACTAGCAACTTGACCTCTCTCGTTCCTTTTTTATTATTTTCATTAAGGAAATAACAATGACTTTTGCGTTGACCCAACCTCCACGTTTTCTGCTGTTTGAATGGTTTCTGAATCGATTTAACTGTCACGGTTTTCAGGTCGGGGATTGCTTTCCAGGATTTATAATGTGACTTTGAACTCTTGTTCCTTCCTATCCTGTGGAAGAGGGAGTACTGAGGGGAGTAAGGTATGCACACTGTCGCTTGTAATGTTGTCTTTCTCTTTCATGTCTTGTGATCGCCTCTGAGGGGCTGTCTGGTAACGGATTTAAAGCGAGATTTAAGCTAAATCTTGCCAGACGGTCATTTTGGAGCGCGGATTGATAAATCCGGATTTTGCGGATTTCGGCCGTACTAAATCCCACGAATCGGTGAATTTACGGGATTTACAGCCAGAGCGATTGTGATCGCTGTGGATATACGTAGAACTTCCCAAAAAGTTTTAATTGATTCGCGGGATTTAGAGGATTTGGTTGCCAGACGGTTCTTCATTCAGGATTTAGTAAATCCGGATTTATTGGATTTACTAAATCTTAATAACTTAAAATAAATCCATTAATCTTCGTCTAACCAAATGATGTTTTTGATCGGCACTGCTGCAGAAATGCTTGCATGTAGTTGGTTGCAGGCTTATCATCTAATTTGAAGAAGGATTTAAGGAAGATTAAGCGTAAATTCTGCCAAACAGTATTCTGGGGACTTTTCAATATTACTATTTTGTTAAATCCCATTTCAACCCCATAATTGTTTAAATTCATTAATTGTTAATCCCACCATTCATGGGATTTAAAATATATAAATATTTCTTCTTCTCATATATCTTAAATCCTGAAACTCATAGCTACATACGACCCTATTCTTATGCATTTACATATCTTACACCTAAACTTTAATTATCATTTTAACTTTGAAAGAAAAATGACATAGACCTTTTCGTGCATAGGAATGACGGTATTTATGTAAATGTTGAAGATTAGGTGTTAGATATGTAAATACAAAATAATTGAGTGGTACGCATGTAAATCTTCCTAGTTATCATGTCAAATAATTTTCTGATTATAATCATCTTGGGATACTAAATCTAGATTACAGGATTTACAAATTCCTACTTGAGTTAAATCATATTTGTAGCTAAACAAGCCCTTAAGGCTACTTTTCTAAATTTGTTTAGCAACTTGAGATGTTAGGAGTACTGTGTATATTACTAGAGATACCTGTAGTCGAACTTATGAACTTTGCAATTTTTTTCTGTGCTTTGATCATGTAATTATCTTGCATACATAGGTTATTCTCATTAGCAACTATTTTCTATTTAGTTTCATATCTCTTTTTCTTAAAGTTAGTAGCTTCTTGATTACTTTCAATTATTTCCTTGTATGATAGCTCAGACTTTTTCGGAACAATAAACTTTATTTTTTTCCCATCAATTTTTTCCAGTTCAATTGCTTTTTGGATCTTTGGATCCTTTACCATTTTATTCAGCATTCTTATTCAAGGGAAGATGGGAGAATAATAAATATTTTTTGAGATTGTAATCTCTTTTATTTGTTATGCTTATTTTACTTCATAAATATGCTCATTGATTTCAGAAAATTTGCAACCGGTTACTAGTCATTGAGGGCATGGCTACTGCAAATGCAAGTACCAGCTCAAAGAATGGTCTGTATTAATATTCCTTGTGTTTTAAGTAGCACAAAGCCTATAGGTTTTCTTTAAAAATGATTTTTTTTTATAGCTAGGAAGAAAGAAGTAAAGAAAGAAACTGGATTGGGTCTAGCCTATAAAAAGAATGAATCTTTTGGAGAATGGTACTCTGAGGTAAAGCAGGATTGAGAATTTTTTTATAGTTTGCCATAGAAAATTTTTAAGACTTTTGGCATATTAACATTTTCTGGCTGGTCAGGTGGTTGTTAACGGTGAAATGATTGAATACTATGACATCTCTGGTTGTTACATTTTACGACCATGGACAATGGTGATCTGGGAAACCATGCAAGTATGTGCTTTAGTTGTTTATTCTAGTTCATGGTTTTGGTTATCATATTTAATTATTTCTACAAGTGTGGTTTTTCGGAGTTTCAGCATCACTGCCGGCTACATTTTTGTAGTCTATTCCATGGCAAAAGGTTACAAGATGCAGGAAAACTTGCAATGGCTTTGTTTTATCTTAGTTTTTCTTAGAATTACCGTCTTATTTTCAACAGTTGTATTCTAGTATCCTCTTCTCAGATTTTTTTATGATTATTGATTATTTCATTAGAACAAAATTTATTTTAGTCAATTGTTTTGTGGCTTTATTGTTTGTTTATTTTAAGTGTTTGCACCCTAGGTTCATGTAAGGCAAGCCATTATCTCACTGCCTTAAATTTTTGGGTTATACATTTTAATCAAGGGAACACCTTTAGTGTGTTGATAATACTATTAACAAGGTAAAGGGTCCTCTTCCAAGAAGGTTTTTTTTTTTCCTTTATTGGTCAATTTGTCTTAAGCAAAACAAGTTTGCTAATGTGCAAACTGCAACACAATGTTCAAACATTTTTTTTTCCTTGAAGCGCACATATTGGTTAATTGAAGTGGTTAATGGATATAGAAGTTAAAGAATCCTATAATTCAAAGGTTAAAGATGAAATAATTGAAGATGTAAATACTAATTTAATGAAATGATGATTGTATGCCTGTGAGATTTAGAACAAAGAACGTCTCAATTTACAACAATAAATGACTTGAAGTATAATAATGAATGACTTAGGAGTATAGAATTGAACGCTCAATGTTTAAGAAAAATGACTCACATGGAAGAGGTGTTTGTGTGATCAAGGTGGAGGAAGCTTATAATTGCGTATTCATAGGGAGGAAAGCAAGATGTGGTGAGTTGGAAAACTAGAGATTAGGAGGGTTTCATTTTTTTGTGCTATAGATTTTAATAGAATGTTTGAATCATCTGTCCTAGTTGAGCCTCTTGCTACAGTTGAATCAATGAGATTGCACTAGGAGACTTTGACGAGATGGAATTCCTAACATGTGTGAGTACCATGTCATGTTATCAAGCACGGAATGCTGTAATTAAGGCTATAATTGAGCCAAGTTAAGCCGAGTATTTCATGGATTAGATTTGGCTTGGTCGTATTATGAGTTTTTCATGTTTGACTCGAGCTCAAGTCGAGCTTTCATCTGAATGTTCATACTTGTCTTGCTTAATTTTTTAAATAATTGTACTTGACCTTAACTTGATATATTTATATTAATTGAAAGAGTGTTTTAACGAGTTAATAAACAAGCAAAAAATAAAAATAAATACACAATTTTTCATATAAAGTTATTAACAAATGATTTAAAAATTTAATTAAATAAACAATTAAGCAATTTTTGAATGAGTATCAAACCCTTTACATCAATTAAAAGATAATATGAGTGGCTTAAAAGTCTAGCTCAAGTTCTTAGCGATAAATATCGTGTTAGTTTTAAGGTGAGGATAGCACATAGCTCAATATACATTGTCAAGTTGAAGTAAAATGTTAAGAGCTGTAGAATTTGAAGCTCTTGTTGGTCCTAACTTCTGTCAGGTCTTATGCCCTTTAGGGCATAAGACTGCATGTTTATAAATCGTTTGCCAACATGTCAACTGTAGATGGACTTTTGGGCTCACTTATGTCTGTACATGCTCATGTGAGCTCAACCTTAGCATACCCACTTTGGTTGGTGACCTTGCGTGACTGAATGTGAAGTCAAAAGTATAAATTAAACGCAAAATTAACAATGAGAATCAGAAAATATCCTTATTATTAATTAAATGTAAATATATTACTTTTAAAAAGTACTTGTATAATTTGTATTAAAATTTAATTAAGTAATATATGAGTCATCATCAAGCTTTATGTCAAACCCTTAACAATTTACTCGTTGAACAATAAACAAGCTAGTTTCTGAACATTAATAAACTTCTTGTACCATGCTTAAGTTTTATTCATTTTACCTTTGAGTATCCAAACTTGTTTAATGATTTGAACAAGATTGAACAAATATTAATTGAGCCGAATTCATGTTATTAATCACATGCATTGTTTTTCTTACAGTTCTACTTGCGAATAACAAAAATTGATATGTTATCGGCCCATCTAGTTTTTTGTTTAATATTTTATTATTAAATGTAAATTAGAAAAAGAAATTAGATTTTTGATCCATCCATATAGTATTTGTGTAATAATTCTATTATTAAATATTAATAACAAATAAAATTAGGTTTTTAATTTATCCATCTATCTATTTGCTTAATATTTTCATATATTATAGTGATATAAATATTTCTTTTTGTCCATAAAAAATACAACACTTGATATAATAATATGAAATAGGTTATGAAATTGCTAGGTCATCATTAAATGAGCATTTTATTGAATTTTTATTTAGTTACTTGTTAAACAATAAATGGATACATTCATGAACATAAATGAATTAATGGGACACCAAGCTTGTAAATGACAAGCTTTAAAATTTTTTGTTTGATACGCTTCAGTTATCTTAATCTGCAAACACAAACAAGCCTTTATGAATGAATATCAAGTTTTTCATTGAGTGCTCTAGCTCACATACAACGTTATTCCTTAGTATCAATCTTATTGTAAGAATTATTAAAAGTAGTAGCCTTTGTTTTATCCATTTAAATAATCAATAACATTTTATTTTTACCACTTCTTAAAATCATATTTTGTTTTTCACGTGTTTTAATAATCTTGTGTCATTTCACTCTACCATCAAGTTTTCTCATTAGTCTGTGATCTATTTTCCTAATATATTTATAACAATCATCTTAATCAAACTAGTCATTTTATCTTACATTAAGGTTGGCTCAATTAAATAACTCCAACTTGCCTTCTTTAATTGTATATACTAATGGATTTATAATTTTTTATATTTTGAATTCCGTCGTTTTATTATTAACAAGTATATATATCGAGGGCAGATTTTTTATTGAAATCACCATATAGTCTTTGAAGATAGACTTTTCTAAGTATGATTTCTCCACCTTTGTAGGTGAATTGGTATTCTTTTCATTTGCTATAGTATTTGTCCACTATTGCAAGCTCTTAGCCTATGAGAAATCAAACATTGTGGCACATATTATATTTCTATCATCTATTCTATAGCCACGAGTCCTCTCATATCCTATTGTATTGGAACTTATTTGTCCATTTAAATTGTGTCTAATAAATAAACTTCTGTTTTTTGATATATTAATTAATATTTCTTTCCACAGTTTATTTTTTTAATATTATTTTATCCAACTTAAGGTGCACAACCAATAACCACATTCTTAATATCTTTATTGATAGTTATCTTAATAGAAACTACTCTATTCCTAATCCTGTTCACTTCAGCAATTTTTTCTCTTAATTTTTTATCCACTATTATTTCAACTACAATTTTATTTTTAACCTTTCCAATCTAAAATAAATTATAATTTGTTGATGCCTTTGGATATATCTACCGTTCATTTAGTTTCTTTTTCTTGGACAAGCTATAGTTATTATTCTTCTAGTTATCAGTTTTGCAAATTCCCATCCTTTCATTAAAAGTGATCTAATTTCATGTAGGAAATATAATATTAGATTTAAACCTGGTCAACCCTTATGTTGCACTACTTATTGTTGATGTCCTAGTCCACTCTTGCACACTTTTCATGACAATTGGATTAATTTATGGTGCGCCACTTAAGGGTGATGTCCTTGGCTACTCACCAGAGTCAGTTTAGTCCATGCCAAGCCGCTTCTCAAAATGTCATGGCACTAGTGAAATTCAAATTATAATTCATTTCATTAGTTTGTTATCACTTGTGAGTTTTATGATTGACGTCAGTCTATTTTTTTTCAATCGGGTTCGGGATCGACCATTACAATTATTAAAGAAGCCATAAATGTTGATGAGAAATACAAAACTAATACAAATACAAATGCTACTACTAGTAATTCTAAATTCTAATACTAATTGTAATAATAATATTTGTCTGATATCGGAGAACAAGCTTGATTCCAACAACATTTTTAATAATACTAATACTTTCTGATGCTACTTAATAATTGTTGACATGGACTATGGTGAAGCAGCCTCTAGTGTTTCTTTTAGGTGAATAGTAAGTTTAAATAATCTTTATATTTGAGTATGAATGTTTTTGTTTTTTATATATAAATAAGCATGCTGTATTCAGTATAAACAAAGCTGGTGTTTCGTTATCATCAAGCACTATGTGGATCGACAATTCCCTTACTCTTGGCCTTATTTTAGTCTTGAAATTCAGTTTATGCTTTCAAAAAAGTGGGGCCAAATGGCCATGCCACCTGGTATTTGGCCATTGATCTGAGCTAGTTATTTTCGATACACTTTTCAATCTTTTCCCATGTTCATTAGTGAGGAAGTTCATTTAATTTGCTCAATAGTGATGTTCACAAAGAATTTGATGGCCAGTGTTAATTTATACGGAAATAGCCTATTCAATGTTTTAAGCATGAGAAATTTTGTAGTTGCCAATGTACTCATGCTTATGTAATAAAGCTGCAATTCGTTCTCTCTTTGCTTAAGACTTGCATGGTTCAGTTACTAAAAATATTTATGATATTATTCACTATGTATTTTCTTGGACGCTCTTGATTTATATTTTTGCTTTATCTCTGTTCACTGCATGAACCACCATGTTTTGTTGATTAATTTTATTTTCGTGCAGGCATTCTTTGACGCAGAAATAAAGAAAATGAATGTAAAAAATGCATACTTTCCTCTATTTGTAACGGAGAATGTTCTTCAAAAGGAGAAAAATCATATTGAGGGTTTTGCTCCAGAGGTGTGTGTTGACTTATTTCTGTAGTTCTTATTATTGTTTCAGATGATACATTGTGTTCATTTTCTGTATCTTTTTTTTGACTTATTATTTTAGTTTTTATGGATGATCATGTTGAGGGTTTTGCTCCAGTTTTGTGAGATGTTTTGCTTTAGTTTTATATCATCATTATGGATGATAATACTTGGCTGACATTCTCTATCTCTGGTTTCTAACGTCCAGGTCAATGCTTGTATTTAGCTGGCAGGCATGCACTGAAAATCACCTTTCAAGAAGTCAACCATGATAGTTGATCTGCTTAGCAATATTATTTGCGACATGACAACTTTATTTTTAATCTAATAGCAGAAGCTTAGAAGTTGATCCAAGACATGCACAATAAAAAAAAAAAGATTGAATAGTAGGGATCTCTAAAATGGTATATTGGTTGAGTTGATTCTTTTTCAGTAGAAAAAGTTCAGTTGTTTAGGTTGAAATCATTTTTATGCTCTTTAGGATTCTGGATGCAAAATTAGTACCGAAGGATTATGAAGGAGTAGGGGCTAATCTTCCAAAGGAGTGCATTTATGAAGCCTACCCTTCATAGTGGGATAAGGATAATAATTATGGCGATGATGATGGATGCAAAATGCTGTTCAGGATGATTTTTATGCTTAGTATTGGCTTGTTTAAAGTGTTACTAAGCAAATAAAAAATCTCCGTTGACTTGTCATATTTTTCCTAAGCCGAAATGATTTTGGTATCATCATAGGTATAGTTTAGGAATTAATTAACTTTCATATTAGTATAATAATGTATCTCAACCAGCTGTTTTAAACATTGAAATCTACCATTTTAGTGTGTACTTGGTACACTTAATTGAAAATACCAGTCAGAGCATTCTACGTCTGCCGCCTAGTTAGCAAGAGGTTAACTCTCTAAATAACACAGGACGAAGAAGCGACCTTTGAGTCTAGTTTAGAACTGCATCTCGTTATAGTTGTGATAGCGGGGGGATTAACTGGTGTCTATTGCTGTTCTCAAGACGCAAGTTGTAGCCTCTTTCTACTCAAAACTTCTGGTTGGGAAATGCCACTTTTCTTTGTAGTTGAACCATTCGATCCGTTTATAGTTTCTTCGAGGCTGTTTGGTGGTCAGATTTAAGTTGTAATTACATTGAATTTAGTCTAGATATGCTATACTGTCTAAATGGACAGCTTGAATACTATTTTAATTTTGTTTTGGCATTAATCCCGCATACAAATTCTGAAAGTTCAGTGGCTTTAGAGAATAGAAACACACGAAGAATGAGAGACGGATAAATACTAGTAGATGATTTTGCCTGCAGTGTCCATTGCGACTTCCTTGCTTCTTTTGTCTCAAATGTTTTGGGTGGGGATGAAGAAAAGGAAGATGACAGTTTCAGACACTACCCACCATTGTCACATCGATGAGGTGGAGGAAGATAAGGGTTTCAACAGACTGTAGAAGGACGAGGACAAATGTTTTGGGTAAAAGTAGCTAGCATTTGACATTTAATCAGATTTTTAAATCTGTAATAAATATTTAACTAAAGTATTTTATTATTTAATTACAATTTAAATAGTGTAATTAAAATTTATCATCATTTAATCATGATTATTGATTAATATTAGTAAATTGAAAAATCTATATTTTATTTAAATTGACTAGATAGAATTTTTTATTTAATTATGTTAATAAATTATTAATTATGATTAATTGAAATATTATTGTTGAATCCCAATCTGCCTGGGAGGCACGCCCAAAGAATATAGCACGTTAGAAAGGAAGAGAGAGCAGAGAGCAGAGAGCAGTTATGAATTATAACATTGCGTAACCTTTATTAATGAAATGTACCCCTATTCATAGGAATGGAGGATGTACAATTGCATAGTATATACGTAGTATACGTAGGTACGGTAGAGGTTTTTTATTCTGTACATAAATTTGGCCCGAGGCCCACGGACGTCCTACTGAAAGGGGCTGGGTGGCCGACCTGTCAAGCTGAGCAACTACTTGCTGAGGATCAATGCCAACTGCTCTGGAATTAGATGGTTTGTCCTGCTCACCTGGCCTGGCCAGGGTAGAGGGCGCTCGGCTCGCCCACGTGAGTCCGATCAACTTGATTCTTTGGGAGATAATCTGTTCTTATTCCGTCATGGAAATGCCGTCCTCACCGTACACAAGAGCTGGCCGGATAAGCGTGCGGTCTCGGGTCATCCTTGGTGGGTCCCACAATGCCACATCACCTCTTATGTTGGCCTTGAGATATCTTTGAGATTCGAGCTATCACATTTTTGATGTATATATTAAAGTTCCTTGATTTTCTTGTTTCTTGAAAATGACAATTGTGATAAAAACAAAAAAAAAATAGATTTTTTGAACAAATTTGTGGTATTCATTACTATTTATAGCATAATAATTAACTAATTCTTGATTTCTATGCTAAGACTATTCTAAATAAATAATATGAGATGTGGGGCTTGTCTTTCAGGCATTCCTTCGGGTTGGTTTTTCATCTTCTTAGTGGTGCTGAGTATGGAGGGCGGTTAACTTCCTAATTTCGTTAGATAGGAGTTTGGTGCTTTGGTTTTTAAGGCCATGAAGAAGAGGGCCAAGAAGATCTCTAAAGGCGAGCGACCTGGTAAGCGTGTTGCACTTGAGGTCAAGACCTCTGAGCCTGTGGTTGAAATAGGGTCATCAGACTTAAATAATGACCTCCACGCGGCGAGTTCTTTGTGTACGGAGGGGAGTTTTCCCATGACGAAACACCACACGTTGGGCAAGGTTCGCCTTGAGAATGATCAGACGGAACAAACGATCCATCTTTTATTTCACCTTAGTTGAAGGTAGGGGGCGATCAAGGACCCGCCTTTACATTTATACCTCCGGAGGTTCTGGCTACTGATGGTCAAGGGGAAGCCCCAGACTTTCGCTCGGCGGATGCTCCTCTACCGGTCTCTTCTCTTCTGTAAATGGAGCAGGAGGAAGGGGAGGGAGGTTGCTTCTTCACCACCTTTGATTTGGATCCAATGATGGGCCCCTCTTTAGGTGAGGGTACGAAGGTGAAGCTCCTTGGTGAATTTGGGGTTTGTCGAGGGCTCCAGGCGTTTTGAAGGGCCGCTTGGAGATGGATTAGTGTGTCCGACGGTTGATTTGGCGGGAACGACTAGCTCGCCTGAACCGTTTGGCTCGACTGAGCTTCGTCTTCATAGGGTCGAGGTTCCACAGTCTCAAGAAATCGATCTTCAGCTTTAGGATGTGCGGCTAGGGCTGTTGGAGGAAGATTTAGCTCTAGTTCGTGCTCGTGAGGTTGCTCTTCAGGAAGAGTTGACGTCACTCAAGGCCGAGTTGGCCGTCGTCCGGGAGGAGGTTTCGGTCTCCTGGTTGTATGCTGAAATGAACGGCGTAGACAATGTTAGGATATGAGGTGAGTTAATGTTTAAGCAGTTGTCTCAGCTGGGGTATGTCCTGACTGAGGCTATAACTGATAGTTTTGTAGAGTTTTTTCTTTCCGGCTAAGTACTTGTAAACGAATGAATTTTCTTGTTTGCCGAGTGGTTGTGATCAGTGAAAAATATGTAACCATTTTTTATTTTGTTGATATATATATATATATATTTGTTTAATTTTCAGTTCATCGGTGTGTGTGCTTGATTTAACTCTTTTCCCGCGCTTTGATGTAATGAAAGTATCCTTTTGCCCTTACGTTGTGTCAACTTCTGTTACACATTATAAGTCTGCGAGTTAGATTATTACTTCTTTATGATGACTTATTCCACCTCTGTGCGGTTCTTGCTTCTTTCTTTTATCGCTCATGGCTCCCAAGCACTTGGGACTTTTTGGTTCGACCTTGCTTGGGGTCGTGTCAGTTCTGTCAGAAAGTTGGATAACAGGTTTGGCCAAGTTGTTTGTCTTTGGGTCAGACATCTTCCTTCGGCTGGCCGTGGAGGGTGAAAGTCGGCGAGCAATTTTGGCAACTGCCTTGTTGTGTACATCGATCAATTCCGATACGGCCTGAGGTTGCTATTTTAGTGAGATGAGGTTCATCTTTAACAACTACGGTGTCATCCCTTTGTAGATGACACTGAACTCGGTCGCGATAGCCATGACCTTTGTCATATTCTTCCGGCAGGTAGCAATACCATGGTCAATAAAGTTCTTTTCATACTTCTTTGGGTTCAAGGTGGACCGAGATGGCTACACTGTCTTCTCTTTTGGTCTCAAGCTTCGGGTGACGTGGTCTGAGAGCAAACTTAAGGGCTAGCGGTCAAAGTTCGCGGTCGCTTCACATCGGAGAGGCTGGGGGATAGCCGTATGACCCATTGCTAAGGAGGTGAAGAAGTTGAAACTTTTGCCTGAACATGTCCAAGCTTTTGCTGAAATGATCAAGGGGCGCGAGCTGTCAGTGCTCTAATTTATTGAACAAGATGTTGTGAATCGGGTCTTATGGCCTGAGACTTTCGACGACATGACCGAGACTCTATGGGAGGAATCCGACGCCAGGGAGAAGAAGAGGATGGAGGCGGCGACGTCATTGAAGGTTTATAAGACTAAACCTAAGACAAAGAAGCTTATGGGGAACAGTACGCCGCTTTGCAATTATGAAAGTCTCTGAGTAAATTTAACAGGAAGGAAGACCCTTTCTCTTTTTTTTCCTTATATTTTCATATATATATATTTATTATTGACCTGTTTGAGCGAGTGTAAGGACTTTCAATGCATTCTGGGAGACTTCATCCGTGTATTCCGAGTCCCAGGAGTTGAACTCCGGGGGAGAGGCTCCTCTAGCTAGACAACCCGAGAGGAAGGGGTGGTTAGGTGTCTCCTACCTCGACCCTCAAGAAAGGGTTGCCACGCAACGAGTGTCTCCTCTGTAGGTAATATCCATTTTAGGAAGCGATGAAGGTTCCAAAGTCGATCTCTTGGGGCGGGCTGATCGGGATCAGAAAGGGAAGATGCTTGTTGATGAAGATTCATCGCCGCCTCCCCCTTTGTCTAAG